GATGATGATGGTGATGATGTCGATTATAACAACAGTAACAGAAATCAAAATGAGAATCTTGTCAACAACTACGATTACAACAAAAAGTACAGAAATAACAAATCTCAAGCGTACAAACAAAGTAATGTTGACGTTTCCATATCCGCCATTGGCAAGCACTCACAGGATAATGACACAAATTTTATTGGCAACCAGCGACAACAGCAACAGCAGCAACAACAGCAACAACAACAACGGCAACGGCAACAATTACGACAGTATCAGCAACAACAACAAAATTATAAGTTGTTAGCAAATAAAAAAGGTTTAGTTTCTACTCCTAGTAATATTAGTACTAGCACTAATAGTAATGCCGGTGAGGAGCAGGATGCTGAGAATGAAAGCATTGAAACGTTTTTAGAGAAGCTCAATATTAACATAAATACTGAATTAATATTAGCTAAGCGTAAACGTTCATTTTCAATAGCAGTCAATAGTAACAGTGTTAACAGTGACAACAACAGCAACAACAACGATGATGGCAGCAGCAACAATATTAAAAATTATTCTAATCAGGCACTTCAAAGGCAAGATTACTACATTATTTACGATGTTTGGTAAGTAAAGTAAGCAATAATTGTATAAAATTGAAATCACTGCAAAATTATAAATAATAAAAAATTATTCTTTATTTACCAAAAATCTAAGCAAATATATACATAATCGGCTCGCAGATACATTCGAGGGTAGATAGCGTTTTGAAAGTTCGATCTTTTTTTTTACGTACATCTACCTCAGAAACTATTGCGATAGATATGTCGATAGAGTTTGTTTTGTACTTATTACAAATTATTAAGTATTTAAATGGCTGATAGGTTGGTTAAACTGGTGACCCTTCATGAGTCCACTTACTGCTTTTTGAAACATGATAGTCCGGATTGACTACTCTGATTGAAACTTGATTCTTCTCATACCATTAAGTAGAATATATTTTATACTTACATGATTTTTGAAACACTTTTTGGATTTCTTTGGATAACCAATCTTTCGGATAACCAGTTTCGATTATTTAACTCTGATTGAAACGCTTTCCTAATCGTATGCTATATTTTAACAAACATTCACATGCTTTTGAAAATGTTCTATGAATATCTTTAACTCCTGAAAACTACAAGGGATGTAGCTGTGCGAACGGAAGCCATTTTGCCTTTAACTCAATAACGATATCCGAGAATCGAGGGAAGCAAAAGTATCCAACATTATGTGGTCTACTTCGGCTAATCCTTTACTTCAATGTGAAGGCCACTTGATGAACGGCGCGCTGTTCTCAACGTCCCACAATATATATATTCCCGAAAACCAGTAGTCGCTAATTTCTCTAACAGAAACCTTTTTCAAATCTTCGTAAATCTATGTACCATAAAGTAAATTATATTATTCAATAAGCACATCTGTTGATTATGGGTGATCCAAAGAAGGGTTTAACTGGATTTTATTTAGCATTCACACTTGCTTTTTTTTTGAAAGTTTTTTAACTGAATTTTCACTTTTCTACTTAAACAATTATTTCAGTAAATTTCCATAATTACATATCAACGACATACCACAAGTTTCAAATCACAATTCAATCAATAATTGGGAAAAACTTTTCCACCTCAAAATTTCGTCGTTTGCAACTTTTCAGTTTGCTTTTTGCCCAAAGCTGGAACTTAAAGAACCATTCAACTGCAAACTTTGTTCTGTACTTCATCAATATTTGCTGATTGTGAATTCATACAAAATTTAACTGAAAATGAAAAAATAAAAATAAGAGAAAATCAAATCGAAATAAAAAATAGAATAATTCGTAACAAGTAGAAAAAACGAGTTGATTACTCCAACGAAAATTGCAAAAAGTTCACAAAGTCAAAGTGCAATTTGTGCCCACTTAAATGTGTATTCGCCTCTGGATTCCAATGGATTCGACTGAATTTGTAATTTTATTCGTAAATTTTGTATTACAAAAATGGGAGTTAAATAGTAAAACATTTGCAGTTGCAATGCTCATCCACAAAATCAAAAAAAAAAAAAAAGAAAATTGACGAGAAAGTAGTGAAAGCACTGGATGAAGTCTATTGAAGATTTTGTTTTTATTTGCACTTTTAATCAATTTCAGTTTGTAAATGTTTTGTCTGAATTGAGTCTGAATGGCATCAATGTCAATGATATTTGAATACTTTTGCTTTGTAGTATCATTTAATGTTTCTTTTAAAGAAATCTGATGCACGACACAAGCAAATGAATGTAAGAGTTCCTAAGTATGCTGTAAAGTAGTGCTTGGATAGGAAGTATGAATTCAAGCTTAACAAATTAAATATTTTATCTGATCGAAAGATGAAAAGTTTTATATACTGTTCTTGTTTAAACAACATAGTCAGTCAAAGACGTTTACGGGAAGAAATTAAGGGATTAGTTTCGAAAACTAATTGAATCTTTATAAGAAAACATTTAACTAAACAAAGTTTTAACATCTAGTGTAAATTGGTTTCCAAGTGGGTTCGAACCCTAAAATATTTCTTCTTGTATACGCTGCTGTAGATGGTCCTTAAATAGTAATAGCAATCCCTAAAAGTGGAGATTAACTTAAGTTGAATGGTTTATTAGAAAAAATTTATATATTTGGAGAAACTTGAGAAACCTTGTTGAGCTATTCCCAAAGCTTTACAATTATAGAAAGTTCATTTAATTTAAGCTAAATAAAAAGCAAAAAAATATTGTCTTTACTATACAAATTGAATCTTAGTTATAAATAGGCATATCCTTCATAAAAGATTTTTTATAATATAATGTCCTGTGTCAACAACAAATCCAACTTTTCATCGTGTGAGAAAAGAACCTTCCAACCATTCAGAATTTAAAATAGATCTATTCCTGTAAATCCAACTTCTCTTTGAGTGAGAAGAGAACCTCTCAACTATTCACAACTTAAGATAGATCTACTCCTGTAAAGATGCCAGCATGTTTAACTGTTGTCTTTAAAATAAAATATTAGTTCCATATTTTTTTATGGTAAACCCATTTTTGAAAAAACTTGAAATATTTAAAACATATTTCTTTGATATTGAAATGGTATGTTGTTGTATACTTAACTAAAATCCTACTAGTTTCGTGGAATCTAAGTAAACATAATTACATTTTGGACTACTAAGTTAATGAAGATTTAACAGTGAAGAAATTAAGGAAGCTTTAAATAGATGCAGCATGCTTTTTCGACATGTATGTGAATGAATGTTGTTGAACATTGAGCTGAGGTTCGGTCACTTAAACGGTAGCCCGAAAACACAAAACAACAATCGGTCTACTAAGTACTTAAGAGTTAACATGGCAAAATGAGTATAAATGGTTGGGTTTGAGACGACTTGGATATAATATAATGACAATGGGGGATTATGAAAACAATGAATTGAGCATCCATAAGTCGCAGACTTAATTGATTGTTGAAATCTATGATTAAGTATCGTCCACCATACAGATTCTGAACAAAGGGATGTATGTAGAAAGGGTATTATGATTAGTTATCGAATTTGTTTTATGTAGTGGGCATTAGAAGGGTTTCTAATCAGAAGTGATGCAAAAGTAATTTGCTGCTTTTTCAAAAAAAAAATAGCCATCTTAAATATAAATGACATGAGAAGAAACTGAGGATGTCAGATTTTGGATTCTAATGAGTACGGTAGTTTCTTTGACTGATTTAGTTAGTTTAACTAAAATCTCGTTTTGGCATTAAATGATTTTGGAACTACAATAAACTTCTTTTTTATTATTCTATAACTAAATTTTTTTTGTCTTTTAGCTTATATATTGAAAACTAAATGATAGAAAAAGATCTTTATTATTTTGATTACGTTTGAGACAGCTTAAGTACGCTTCAACCTTGACCTTGACCCTGATTAACCCTAATAGAACTAAGTGGTTGTAATAGTGTCAAATATTCAAGTAATGAAATATAAAGTATTGAAATAAATACAATACTTATATTAATAAGTATAATATGTGGTAATAATGACTTAAGAACTTGAAAGATGGATTCAGTGTAAACGACGATAAGCGAGATCGTCTTTACTGAAGTCAGTCTGAGACCAAAGAAACCAAAATTAAAATAACTCTGAATCCAGATTCAGGAAGATTATCATCTTAGTAACACAGCATTATTAATCAATTAGGTTCACACTTGTTTGTCTAAAGGGATAATTGAAGAGATGGATTCAGGGAGAATACTAATAGATGCGTTACTCGCACAGTTAGTATATATTTCAGAAAATGAAAGAGCATACATGATTTGTTAAAATTTTTTTTGTATATTTATTTATTATTAGCGACGGGTGGCTTATGCCATTTTTAATTATAACGCTCTCACATCCTGCATTTGTATTTCTATTTCCACTTCTATTTCTAGTTCTATTTCTGTTTCCATTCAATACAAAATAATATAAAAAATTTTTAAATCCAATCAGTTAATGGATTTGGAATTAGTATGAGTTATTTTTTGGTTGGTTAGGGTTCAGACAACAATTGAAAAGAATTGTTCTACAGCTGTGTCCAATCTATGGTACAATTTAAACTAAATATTTTTAAATAAAGGTTACTGTTGACAAATACTTAGCCAGATTTATTTCAGTCTAAAAAATCCATTTAACTAATTGCTGTTACTTCGTTCACGAAACATTTTATTTAGTATAATTTATTTAGTTAAACACATATTTTATTTTCTACAGGAATCCCGGTAAACAGTATGGTGGAGAACTGAATATATCAGAAATAGGCAATTTTACGCTTCCTCATGGACTTCAAATTTTTGACTGGTATCGGAGGAAATCAGCAGCAACGAGGCGATTAAATATGCATTTAGCTGGCATACGCTGTATGATTGTGGTAAGTTACAGAAAAAGTGTAAACGGGAAAAAATTCATGTTACCATCGTATTATTATAATAAATTATTATTTAGCAAAAAAGATGAAATAATTTTATTAAATGATCAATTTTTTTAACATGGATAGTTTAACAACGAAATTAGCGACGATGTTCGCCCTTTACTGTCTTACGTTTCTCTTTCTTCTCCTCACGTTGTTGTTTTTGCTTTTCACGGTCTTCTTTGTCTTTACGTTTTTTGGCTGCACTATCAAGACGTGCTTGTTCTCTACGTTCTTTTTGCAACTTTATAACATCGTGAACGTTAGTATTGCGTTCAACACCGGTTAAAGTTTTGGGAGTGATATTCTTAGTAGCTTCTTCAGGCTTATCAGAAGATTCATCATCAGTAACTGGAGTTTCTGAGTATTGTGTTAATATATGTTCACGTATTTGGCGCTCTTCCTCTGTATATTGACGTTCTTTGGAAACGGTTCGTATTTTTTGTGCTTCCAGTAATTTAGTTAGTTGATCGGTAACGTCAATGGAGGACGAGGCTGGATGTTTGTCAGTTGCATTATCTTCTGTCATTAATTCTTTCCATTTTTCGAATATCATTTTAACTAAATAATTGGTATTATCGACCAGTACACTCAAAAAATCAGTTAATGCATCTTTTTTTTCCTCATCCGTATCATCGCCTTCCAAGATACCAAGTATATAATTACCAAAAACTGATTCATCCGTCTTCCACTCGACTAATTTTTCCAGTAGCCAATTTTTGAATAGAGCGCGTTTGTCTGTCATATTTTTATTTTTGTAATTTATATAATTGTTCACAATTTTATACAAACTTTTAAACAATTTTTTAATATTTCATATATATAAAAAATTGACGTTTGATATTTAAAATGATTTTTTGAGCACTCAATAGATGTAATTAATGGGTTATCTATCATATAGGTCTAATGCAGTTCAAATAAATTTCTCTTGTATTCACAAATTAAACACGAACTGTGTCCTCACGAATTTTGTCAGCAAAAACAGCTGTTGATGTGTTCGAAAACCATGTTATGACGATGTGAATAGAAAACAAGGTGTGTAAAAAATTGTTCGAATTTTTGCAATAGTCAATATAACTTATAAGAGAATATTTTGGAAAACAAACCTATTTTCAGTGATATAACATATTACTCGTAAATGGATGGATGTAGTCATGTTGAGAAGGTTTGTAACATATAGAAAAAATGGTGTGATACATTTTTCGGATTCTTGCAGATCTCATACATATAACCCATAGGAGAATATTATGGAAAACAAAGCTATTTTTAATAATATAACATATTATTGCTTGTTTATTATTAGACACGTAATACAAATAGTAACTCGCGTAAATGGATAGACCTACTTTTAGTATGTTTGGTTCCTTACTTGAAACATGATAGCAAAATGGTGAATACTCACCAATTACGCAAAACGTGAGCATATATATAAATCCTTCCCTATAACCAACCAACCAGTCGACACTTATAATTACTTGATGGTGTTTCACTGCTTTGGTGAAGGTTTCCGTATCAATGTGCTAAACTATATATGTTCAGAATCAGTCACTTTTTCTTAATATACAATATATAAACCAACATATTTCAATGGCATTTTTCTTACTGGGTACTTACTGAAACACGCATCCGTAATATAAAATAAAATGTAAAACGTTTTATGGAAAGCACTTGGACATATTTGGAAAATGTGAATGGCTTTTGACTGAAGATGTCACCAATTGTATTTTGATTTCCCCTGTGTCATTTCTGTGTACTTCGAATGTGTATTTGTTGTTATTGAAATTTGAAATTGTTGTATCTATTTTATATAGATTGGGTACAAAAAAAATATGCACAAAAGTCCCCATACAAGCGGCATTGAAAACTGCAATAGCAATAAAATATTTTTCTGCTGCAGGCAACATCTACGGTTATTTTGGTATCAATGTAGAGTGAGTGGGTTTATGGGCCCAATATTTACTTTGCTCATAGGTAACATGCCAAATGCTGATGTTGGATGTTAGATGTTATGTTGAGAGACATTATCCACATCCAGCATTTCTATTGTGTATGGTTTGTGCATTATTTGTGCCAAATTGCTTAACATTTTGCATCATTTTACAATCTTCTTTTTGTTTTCTTTTTTGAATAATATTTCCCCTTTACTCTTTTGTTATTTAGTATTATTCTTTGTTTTTTTTTGTTTTTGTGAAAAATTTATTGTAACTCCAGTTTTTTTTGTCTGTTTTAGATTACCCACAAGAATCGTTCGGATACCTTGGAGCATTATCTTACAACACATTACGATACTCATCTGGATTCAATGAATCGCTTTAACTTTGCTCTGCTCTCACACGTAAGGGACATGTACAATTTCAGGTTCGTTGGATTTGTTGTTTTGGAATTAAAAAACATTTTTTCACATTCTTATTTATTTTTAAATTTATTTATTTCTTTTTTTTTTTTTGCTATACGAGAGTGTATATTTCACCATTCCTAAAGAAGCTGTAAATTGTTTGGTTAGTTTAGGGTTTCATCGTAGTTTAGTTTGGTGTAGTGTTTGCATTGATTAAAATCCATTTGCTGCAGGCACGTAATGACAGAAGAGTGCTGCAAGGGTACAGACGCCAATATTTATGATATATTCAGAAGAAAAATTTATTTCCAGAATATGAAATCACAATACTCCATTACCACAAAGTTTTCAGTTAAAGTAAATTTTAAATATTTAAATTATTTTTACTTATATTTCTACTTAATATGGAAAAGAGCTGAGCTTGATTTTCGTACACATTTAGGCTAAAACATTCGTAAAGGGTGTATATTGATATTTTACATACGTTCTCCTATGAACTACTATTAAATATCGTTAAAAATATTAATTTTATTAACTATCAAGTGAAACATTACTGTTATCTGACTTCCTTTAAATCGAGAAAACGCTGGTAATCAGAACTAAAAGATATCTCAAAATTAGTCAATAGCCTTAATCTTTGTCTGGATTAGATTCGACGAAAAAAAGACACAAGTAGGCGTTATATCTATCTTTATTGTTAAATTGTTACATTATATTGAGATGCCTGCGTGACTCACTATATATCTCTAATAACAGTCCTAAAAACTATCATTCCATCATGGATGCCAGTCAGAGTTGCATTTAACACTACAGTCATATAGTATGGTAAGTGAAGGGATTACAACAGTAGCCAAACTAAACGGAAGAAAGATATGCATTATAAAAGCTATTGCGGTAAAAATGTTAAAAGTCCACCAAATGGGGAATACAAGTGCAAATAAATCAGATATATACGTTCTATCAGTAATGTAATTACACTTCAATATTTTAGGAAAAAATTTGCCAAACCTAAAACCAGTTTTCTCGCTGCCAATATGGATTTTAAGCTAACGGTCTAATATACTATATATTTTCACAGACAGATAGACAGTGATTAAAGCTATTGGATACAAGAGGTCTTCAGCTTATATAAGTTCACCAGTATAGATAAAATATTAACTTTACAGGTAGCAATTTTAATGCTAACTAAACATTAGTTTGCGATTCCCAACATGCGGATTTAGCACGGAATGCGACTTGGTGACTTTTCCATATATAAGATATCACAGATCATATTAATAA